AACATTTTTAACAAATAAATAACTGCAAAGTGGGGTGTGCGTAATTATTGTGTGTTATGTGTGTATGATGATGACTCCTGAAACGTCAACGCTCGGACGTCCAGGAGTCCAACATATTTCAGCTTTTAAAGGACAAATAGGTGCATCAAGTTTTCTACTCTTCACTATTTTTCAGTCGTTTTGTGGGCTCATCTTCATCTTCATTCTCCTCTGCTTCAGATTGTTTCCTGTGTTTGGGCTTTGGTGTGGCATTGAAGTATATACTGCAATGATCTGCTATGTCGTCATTACGAACACTCAGATCAGAGACTTCAACATTTCTGCTGATGACCAGATCCAGAGTGTGACCTCGTTCATGTGTTGGGCTGTTTACATGTTGCGTAAGACTGTTTTTGTTCAATATAGACGAAAATCTTGACAAAACCAATCTTTTGGTTTTGTCGTTCAACTCTTTATCAAACCAGATATTAAAATCTCCAGCCAAAATGATGTCGTCTTTGCATTTTGCAAAAACGTCCTGCAAGAGGCTTTCAAACTCCGACTGGAAATCTTTGAATTTCGTCTTCGGAGGGCGATACACACCGATGACCAGGACAGGTTGGTAACCAGTTCGCTCCAGCTCTACAGCCACATATTCAAAGTGTTTGGCTGAGATCAGATTAATTTTTTTACCATTGTAAAGGGTCTTGAATAAAATCGCGACGCCACCTCCTCTTTTTTTCTTTTCCCTCGTAAACTGAACAAAATTGTACTCTTCAGTTAACATGTCTTGAAGGACCTGATCCTTGTGCTTCTTCTTTTCATTTTTGATCCACGTCTCTGTTAAAATTAATACATCTTTGTTTTTCTCTAATAAACCCTTAAATTTTTCCTCTTTCTTTTTAATCGAGCGAAAATTGATCAGCACCCAGCTTCCAGCATCTCCTGCATTCTTCTGCTCGTTAAATTTCCTTTTAGCAGCATCATCACCATCATTACTATCATCACTATCATCACCATCATCACCATCATCACGCCAGTCAGCTGGGGGCACATAGTTTTTATCTTTCTTTGTGTCATCAACACCACTCTCCTCACTTGATTGATTACTTTCTTCCTTGTTGTCACCACCACTCCTTGTTTCGGAGGCAGACTGTTCTTCACCTGCTTGTTGAGCTAGCTTGATCACCTTGTCTCTGTAAAAGAACCCAGTGAAGGTCGAGTCAGTGTGA